TTATAAAAAGTTTGTCGTTTGTTCAAATCTAACCTTTTTATTCATTTTGTTTCGAGGCATTTTCGTCTGTCGTTTGTCTTGTTTTCTCTCTCTCTCGCTCTCTCTCTCTCTCTCTTTAAACTGTTTATTTTTATATGGAGAAAATGTGATTAAACTGTTTAAGTTGGCAATTCTGTTTTTTTTTTTTTTTTTTTTAGTAAAGGAGTGCCATCAGTTTTTCTTTTCGAGTTGATTTTACATGTTCGCATTTAGGAATAAAACTATTAAAAAAATTTTTTTTAATGAGAAAAAAAAATATTTAGGAGTTTGTTTGTTTGCCCACGAGGTAATTACACAAGGCACAAAATTTTTATCGTTTTTTTTTTTTTTTTTTGGTTTTCAGGTGAGAGAGAGTGGGCACGTTCCGCCAGGAATGGATTGTCTTCAACTTCAGTTACAACCTCATCAACTCAGAACTCAGCCATTCCATTATTTTATAAATGAGCAAGCGAAATCGCTTCTCGCTCTTCAAGAATTACAAAATGAAGTCGGAGCTTTGCTCGAATTCAGGGATTTGGTCATGGAAACGTTTCCGAATTTGCGACAGAAAATGTCGACGTCCGCGGTGTCACACAACACATTTTCCAACACGCAAAATTACTGTTCCAACTTACCGTTACCTCTCTCGGGGTCTTTGAATTCCCGTCACTGGGAACCCGGGATAAAAGTCAAGAGAAAAATAATTCACAAGAGCGATAACGAGAATTCATTCGTTAGAGTTCGTTCGAATAGTCAGAGTAGTGGTAGTAATAATAGTAGTAGTAGTAGTAGTAGTAAATTACAATCGAGTCAGCCAAAAAGCAGCGAAGCCATTTCCGGAGTTCAAGATTCGGGTTTCAGCACGGAAACGAATTCATCGAACAAGGATCACGTTAGTAGCACTGCCACGTTCGTTCCTCACCCCGTTCAACCCGACGATTCGTCGTTCACGGCGGCGACGAGAAAAGAATCGACGAGTCCGAGGAGTCACAAGGTCTCGCGTACGACGGAATACGACAGGAGCGACGAAGAGTTGAGCGAAGATGGTTTAGTCGTGAAGGTGAACGAAGCGGAAGAGGAATTGTGGAATCTGTTGGATGTCATACACACCAAAGGTACAAAACTTCGGGAAGAAGTCGAAACGCTTCAATTGAGATTGATGGTCGAAGAAATAGAAAATCATTTGAAGAGCAGAGAGTCGGAAATGAAAAAAGTCGGGAAAAAATTAAATAGGAGATGTCGGAGTTTGGACAACGTGGACGAAGAAGGAGTGGGAGTGGGAGGAGGGAATTCGTTAATTTATCATCACGCGACGGAAATGGAAAATTTTCATCCAAATTTTAAACTCCAAGAAATTTCATACGAGGAAGATGTTTTCAATAAGAAGAGAACGCGGCGGAGCATCGATTTCGAAGACATTGATCACATTCGGCAAGAGCGTAACATGCTATTGGAAAAATTAGCGGAAATGGAAACGGAAAACGTGGCGAACCGAATGAAAACGTCGGAGCTTCAAAACGAAATAAGCGCTTTGATAAGGACGAAAGAAGAATTGCAAGAGCAATTGTTTCAAGCCGTCAAACAAAAAACGGAACTCAATGGTAAAATCCACGAATTGCACATGAAATTCGTGACGGGAGATCGAAAGTGGAAAAATGGCGGCGGAAGTGGTAAAACGTCAACGACGTCGACGACGACGACGACGACCAATTCGGATAGGATTCCCGCGAAAGAAGAATTGACTGATTTGGAATCTAGTCAAACACTCAAATCATCCGACAGCAGTCCCCGTAGTAGTAAATTAATGACGAATAATAATAATAATAATAATAATAATAGCAAATCGTTGTCGTCGTCGAAGGACGAAAAAAATTTAGTTCCCGCCATTGATAATTTGACGACACGTTCGAATCATTCGAATAATAATAATAATAATAATAATTTAGGAGCTTTGGATGGAATCGTGAGCGATCCGAAAGAATTGAAAAAATGCATCAAATTGACGGATGGAAATAAGAAAAAATTAGCCGCCATACTCAAAGAAAGGAATTATTTGGAATTGCAAAGGCACCTTTTGGTTTCCGTCGTTCATAATCAGGTGAGATATTTTTTTTTTCTTTTTTTTTCTTCTTTTCGTCTCTCTTATCCTACCCCTTTTCCCTCTTCCCCCTACTCCCCTCGTCTCTATAAACCTCTCTTTCTCTCTGTCTCTCTCTTTTCGTTCAAATCCGTTTAACGTTTAAACCGGAAACTTGTATTTAAAAAAAGTGATGTCGTGATGTTATCAGTGACAAAAGGAAAAAATTATTTTTTAATGCCGTCTGCTGACACTTTTATTTGGCAGTGGTTTGCTTCTTTATTAAAAAGCGGAAATGGTTTTTGTTCGAACATTTGTTTTTTTTTTTTTTTTTTTTTTTTTTTTTTTTTTTTTTTTTTTTTAAACCCCCTTTTTGATTTTCCCCCCCCGGGGGAACCATTATTA